GTGCTATTGGTACTAACCACAACTGTTGCAAACATTGTACTTTCATCGAGATAATAGCGTCCATCCTGGGCTTGCTCCACTTTTGTATGTTTCACTTCACCATTGAAACTAAACATCCCATCTATATTCCAGTGAAAGAAGAAACACTAATTGAGACTTTTTGCTTTTACGCCGTTTCTAAAATCTTCTATTTTCCGAGAAAATTCGAAAAAAAACATTTTTCAAAAAAAAATTCAAAAAAAAAAATCTTTTCAAAAAATTCAAAAAACAAAAAGAAAAAATTTTTCTTAAGAAGTGTAGGCAAATCAACGCAATCAAAAAGACAAAAAGTTGTCAAGAGCAACCATCCTCCGGCAAAGTTAGCGATGGTACCCTGTCTTGAAGGAAGCTTGAAAAAAACTGATAGTGATTTTGACTCCTTGGTATGCGCTAATGCCAATTTACTACCGAATCGAATTTACAGAGGCTGTTTACCCAATCGGTGGAGTTCAACCCTCGAACTTCAGAATGAGATCAACGCCGCTTTTTGGCACCATGCCAAGACCATCAGGCTGGAAAAATCCCTTTCCTTTCCAAAAATTATCATTGAAGCTCATTTTTTTAAAATAATTTTTTTCTAAACCGAAAGACCTGGCAGAGCTGCGTTCGGCCTGCGGTAATATCCCAGTATCGTCATTAACATGGAATACAAATACATTGATTACCCATTCGATTTTTAACAATATATGAAATTAAAAAAAAAAAATTAACCTGATGCTGATCACATGTTTCTGTTGTGTGGCACTAAAGCGAACAAGAAAAGTGCCATTGGGCATGCCGCTTAAATTCTCTTCAGCAACTCGTCGTTCCATTGCTCCGTGATACCAGTGCTGCACGGCAAGTTCGGTATTTACATAATCCTGACTTTGCGATCGTCGAGGAGAAAACCTGCAACGAAAATGGGTATAATTAAGCAAACTGATCTCCGCCATGCCTATCTTTTCTGTTATTTGAATTTCTTCATATGAGATTCAGTCACCGCGTTATGACTATTTCTTCACAAAAAGCTCTCCTCCTTCTTCCCCCTACCCCCTCCCCCCCTTCCACCCCCTTTCCGCCTTTCTTGTCCCCCTCTTTTTCTCACTAACACAAATTATTCGTGGTACTCATCTAGCAAAAATGATCATTATTTTGAATTTTTTCTGTTATCCCAAATCATCCAGAAAAATTAATCGGATCTATAAAAAGCTTTCGTCCCTCTCTCCTCCCCTTTCATCCCCCCTTCCCCTTCCTCGTCACCCTTTTTTTCCTCGCTACAACTAATCATCTGTGGTACAAAAAAAGATGGAAATCTTCACACTTTTTTATTTGAATTTCTTCATATGAGATTCAGTCACCGCGTTATGACTATTTCTTCACAAAAAGCTTTCGTCTCTCCCACCCACCCCTCCTCCTCCTTTTTTTCCCTCCTCTTTTCCTCCCTGTAATAAATGATCCGTGGCACTCATCTACCAAAAATGATCATTATTTTCAATTTTTCTGTTATCCCAAATCATCCAGAAAAATTAATTGGACCCATAAAAAAAAAGGAGAACAACCTTCAAACTTATTTTCTTTTATTTGAATTTCCTCATATGAGATCCAATCACTGCGTTATAACTGTTTCTTTACAAAAAGATCTTGTCCCCCACCCCTCTTCCCCACAGCCCCACGCCCTGCTTCTCCTTCCTTGCCCCACCTTTTCCTCACTAAAACAAATTATCCCTGGAACTCATCTAACAAAAATGATCATTATTTTGAATTTTTCTTTTATCCCAAATCACCCAAAAAAAAAAAAAAGAAAAAAAAAAGAAAAACTAATTGACTGCATAAAAAGAAAAATGAAAAACGAACATGATTTCGGTTGACGTTGACGATTTACGCTCGCTACAACTGCCGCACAATGATTTCGGCAACATCACTGAGCTTACCCACGAATCGGTATGATCTGTGGATGTTGATAATGTGGTACTCCTGCCATTTGTCAGTGAAAGACTGGCAAACGAACCGGCCTGTAACGGAGGAATTTACGAATTATGCTGTAATCCGATTAGTTTTCAACGGAAATCAGTGGATACGGCGGCCTCTTCCACGAATTACAATCCTCTTATACCGAGAAGGACCGCTGCGATATTCCGGGTTCCAAACCCAACAATTATCCCTTTTATATTACAGAGTCGTACGTTCTTCCATGTTCATTTCTTTGTTCAGGCCTGTTAGAAATCACAGAATTAAAAGCTGGGGGGACGCCGGGGGACG